TGTATTAGAAGCACTTAAGTTGAACAAATATCCAACACCTAATGTTCTTCTGCCAACAGTGCTAAAATAGTTAACTCATTTTAATCGATGCAAATTACCTTTCTTAAAATTCAGTCCAAATAATGACTAGAAGCTCTTTACACAGTATTAAAGTTATACAGTGCATATTACTAAGTTTGCTTAGGTAAGAGTTGTTAACCAACCATGTTTGTGTCTTAAAAATATTTTTGAAATTTAAAGTCAAACACATTTGTTTTTCAATGAGCATATAAAGTATTTCAAGATCCTTTCATTTTTCCTGACAGTAGAAATTGAATAAATTAGCCAAGGTATACTTTTTACAAAGTCTGTTCCTTCTAAAACTTTCCCTCAATGAAAAGTATTTTTCTACTTTTTCAATGTTTCTCATTATACCACAAGATTAAAATTTGTAAGCTGCTTACTCTTTGTACATACAATACTGTCAATACACATGAACTTTAGTTAATGTACTGTACTTGTTGTAGCAATCATGTCTTTGTCCTAAATGGGGTTATTGTGTAATATATGAAATGCATTCAGGAGATTTATTTCATCACATACCATGTACAGTACCAAAGGTGTGTTCGGTTCACCACATAAAAAACATTGATTTTCATATTTTGATTCCATGCAGATTGACTAGAATTCTTTGGTTCTTTCTGTATAATACATGTATAATACATTCTCTGACAGAATTTCTTTTATGCCTTTACATCCCAAACAGGCCAGTTTTCCGCTTCTGAAAACCAATATGAAATATTGAAAACTCATCAGAACGGATTTTGATTTTGATTTCGGAGCTTCAGCTAATGTGACCTAAAGACTTTTTTTCACACCTTTGACAAAATTACTCTTAGTCAGTTGCTCCCAATCTGTCCATCTGTGTGGCTGTGCTGGATTCACTTGCTACTGGTTAGACAGAAACTGGGGCTTTTTGGGCACACAAGTTCTTCAAAGTTATTATGAATTGTTATGTACAGTATAAGCAATAATCACCTAAATAGAGGAAATGGTTAAAAAATCACTGAAAAAATTAATTAAAAATGGATACGTGTCACGGGGATAATTTGCCTTTATGAGCACTTAAACATGCCTTGGCCTCTAGGACTCATGATATTATTGGATTAAAGGGCCCATTAAGACTGTGACAGGAGTTGGCCTATTGGAATTTACTGCTGTTTGGAGATGCTACAGTGTGTGTTTTGAGACCAGCTGGAAGGATGCCTGAGAAACAGCAACTGAATCCCAGCTGGGAGCCAGGCTGCACATATCGCAGGTGGAGGCCATTCCTAATGGGATTATTAGATTAACAGACACATTAAGAGGAACTCACTGTTGTGGATTTAAGATAAGATGGAAAATTCTGCTCGGTTACCTGCCTTGTTGTTGCCCCAGTGATGATGAGCTGAGGCTGATTGCTCGGTTGTTGAACTTGTGCAGGTTCCAGCAAGCCCCTGGTCAAATTAAAATTCTGAAAACGCGGACCACGATCAACCTGGGTTGAATCAGCTCAGTGGGTTTTAAACACTGTATGTAAACTAAATGATATCATCCTCTGGAGTGTGAAGATTCACCTGACAGCACGTTTGCTCGGTGGCATTCGTCACAGTGATTCGAACAGAGATTAAATGCCATTTTCGTTTCTAAATGACTGTCTTTCAACAGAATAAAGACCCCTTTTAATAACACTGGAAGAAGAACGCAAACATTGAGAAATTTTTCTTCCTCTTAATTTATATAATGAGGGACTATTCAATTTGAGCCCATCACAGTGGCCTATGCGGTTAGTGGCCAATGTTTTAATTGCATTATTGCTACAATGAATTGTGAATTAGACAGTGGAATACATATCTCCTCCCATGGAGAATGTTCATATATCATCTGATGATGTGGGTTTGGGTGTAGCAATGCACTGAAAGTTGAATATGGAACTGAAATTGAAACTAAAGCATGTACACCTGAACATGTGACATAAATAGTTACAAATGGGGGGTTACAAAAATAGAAAAGATCAGGAACTGACCATGCAGATTAGTCAGTAATAAAATAAATGTAACCTCCTACTTGTAAATGATTTCTCCAATGATATACCTGGCACAGCTTTGGTGAAAAGATACATAATTTAGACACACTTGGTTATAAAAATGTATAAAATGTTACTAACAATGACAGTGACACACACTACACTACATGCAACATTAACTTACAGCACACAAGTTACTGTATTTACAAGCTTAGAGACCAGGCATTTCTAAACCACCCAGAAACACCAGGCTATTACCAGGTACTTGAATTGACTTCTTAAATAATGCCTACAGAGACTAAAGAAGAGATAAACTGCCTTCTGAACTAAACTGAATAACACTTATTATTAAATCACTGATGCTGATGCACATGCTGATGCCACAAAACAAATGGGACCTATCTCCCTATTCTAAAATGCACCACTAAGCAGGAGAGGCAGTATTAAACGAAGGGATTCTTCATTCAGAAACTCAAAGTTCCCTAAAAGCTACAGAACAGCGAGCTCTCTTAGCAAGGTTCAATTACTGAGCTCCAATCGGGTGTTTTAGGATGATCTTGAAGAAGAGACTCTTGTCTGGCACCAGCTTCAAGGTCTGTTTCTGTCTCCTGTCTCTCATATCATCTGACCTTCTTTTCTATCCTTTTCCACCCCCTGATCTGATCATATATGGTGTGTTTCTGGACTGTTGATTGACACTTATTCATTTACCCACAACTTAATTAACTACGATAAACCAAGGTTAACTTAACGATTGCTTTGATCACAGACTCTGGACCCCCTACATCTCAGCAAACATCCCCTCTGCTTTAAAACTGGAAATGTTACACACATTCACTAGATTCTTAGACATCTCCATTGTCATTTACCTCAGCCTGTAACAATATTATGCCTGGAATTCTATCCCCATTTTCAGATCGGACCTTTCCAATTTTCAACATGGCACCTTATCGTGCAGTTCACAGTGCCATCAGCGGCCAGCGAACACGGAGCAGTTTTCATCACTCATAGGTCACATGCCACAATATTACAACAAAAAGGCATTAAGCGGAGGTGATGCAGCAGCAGATGCTCAAAAAGCACATCTTCATCACTTGGGTGTTGTGAGCTGGAAGCCTAGCCTACACAAAACATACCACATCTTCATCCACAGGTTCTTCATAAGGAACTTCATGCAGTCTGAGCCAAGGGTAATCTGTGAAAGCAGTTTTCATTCAATGATGCCTGTCTCACCCAAAAATTGTTTTGCTGCCTCACAGCAGGCAATCTTTTCATTTTTCATTGTAGAGTGACACTCAGGGCCATAATTTCACATTTCATTTAAGTAAAGTCAGGAAAACAGGAAATAGTTTCAACACATGCTGTTCTTCTGACTGAAGTAATTCAGCTTCAGGTTTGGTTGGGCTGAATGTCCTGGATAGTCACAAAAGGAAAACCACATGTTCTGACAAAAGTTTTTTTGCGCCAAAACATATAACAACATATAATAAATTCTGACGAATTAGAGAGTGTGTGTACTGTACCTGCTTACCTTATTGTTTTGATGGGTGCTTGCTGGCCAACACCTCCATAATATTGGGTGTGCATTCTTTTTTGAAAAGAGTGTCAGATAATCTTCTTGGAGACATGATAATGAAGAAAGACAGGATACATGATGGGTGGCATGCAAGCATAAAATCTCTCCAGGAATCCTGGCCTATCACTGGAAATGTACATGGGGGCAGATTTCAATCCAGTACCCAAAACTTTTCACACTTAGCCAGCACATGTAGAGAACCATTTAATCAACTCTTTAAATGATAGAAGTGGGTAAGTCTTGCATTAGAATAAAATGTGCTTTAATTGAGATACATTCTCTGTAAGAAGGAAAACATTAAGTGACTGAAATCAGTTCTTCACTACACACTCTTGTTTGAACATTAGAGAGTTGATAATAAAGGACTGTGTGGTTTTGCAATCATGTTAGGCATTTTCCTTTTCTCTGTGGTTCAGAGAAAGATGTTATTTCCTTGCGAGTTGTCAAACATTGCATTTATGCAGAAGTGTGTGGTACTGTAAATGTAACAGGTAACTAGAACTATTACAGAATTTGCTCTGAATCTCTAAGATATACTGAAGCTGTTCTTTTAGGTGGAAGAATAGTGTTTCTTTTGAAAGCACTTTGCCAAAAGACAATCTAACCACCCTTTATAGTTCTGCTGTGAATAACTACTGTACATGGACTACAAAATTCTGATTATGTACAGAATTTTATCACCAAACATGAATTAAGGACACACAGAAAAATACCATAAAGAGAAGTGGGACAGTGTACAGTATATACTGAAAGGGTGAATCACACAAAAATGGCAATTGTTTTTGCAGTGAAAATTTCTGTCAAGTGAAACAGAGTCTTCAGGGTTGGAAGAAAAAAATGTTTTGATTGCTATTGTAAAATGTCTGGAGCTTCACACAATTAATAACTAATGTTTCTTCACTGACTTATTTTACTACAGACATAACTTACTTAATGCCAGAACAGGGGTTATATATGTAGAGTCAATCAGAACACTTACATAAAAAATCCTTTAAATATTATATTTAAGTTGCATAATCAAATAATTAATCAACTGTATACCATATATGCTGATCAGACCATTTCACATTTAATTATCCCAGGTCTGTATGTACAGTATGAATATATGAAATTGCACAGTTACTGTAAGTACAGTAGGTGACAATCAAAATGTAAGGATAAATATCAAAATCCATATGCACCAGTTGTTACAATTATGGTATATTATAGTGTCTGAGCTGGCCACTATTAGCAATTTTCTGAACTGTCAGAAAATAAAAAAGTTACATTTTTCTTCATTCTCTTTTTGATTAAAGGACGAGGCTGTTTTCTGAGATCACATCTCCGTTTCTGACATTTAACCTGCTTACCATCTTACAGGTTTTTCGATTGTCCTTTTAGGTTGCGGTGCCTGGTGAAGCAGTTAGAAAGAGGAGAGGCATCGGTCGTTGACCTTAAAAAGAACTTGGAGTATGCAGCTTCTGTGCTGGAGTCTGTGTATATCGAGGAAACCAGGTATGTCCATTCAAACAGATGCAGCTGGTGTCTGAAATGGAAGGGAACTGACATTCAAAACTGTTGCTTATTCATGTAGGTTCTCGTGATGAGAGTTCATGAAGCTCTCTGATACATGCAAGGATCTTTGGACAACAGCATGTACTGTCGTGGTCACTGTTAACAAAATTTAATGCTTTACTTATTTTCAAATTGACTTTTTCATGCCAGCCCCAATGCAGTGTCTGGTGTAATGTGAAAATTTGTCCTTATACAGTAGCACTTTCTCCTTGTCTTTCTCTTATCGGCCTCTTATAAAAGTACGGCACTTAAATGTCTTATTGAGACACTCTGTATAAACAACCTTTCTGCACGCAATGAGTCACCCTGGGCTAATGTGATTTAGAGCACTTGTATTAAGGAAATAATCTAATAAATAAAAGGTCTCACCTTGTCTTTAGGCAGCTGGAATGCAGAAAATGTCACTGTCCCAACACACAGCATTTCTATGACAAAGAATGTGCCAAAATCATTTACGTAGGGCCGCAAACACTTTGTTAGAGGTTAAATTAGTGACAATGTGATTAGTTCACGTGAATGTAAATACTGTAAATTGATCATATTCTGAAATAATACATTGACAGTTAGGTCTTTGTTTTTTAATTCCACGTCATCATAATTTCCTGTACTGTGCCACATTTAACACTTTCAGTTTAACAATGCATATTATACTATAAAATCACAAACTGCCAAAGAAGTAAAAAGAGCAAAAATGAAGTGTGCTTTCTTGCCTCCCAGTATTTATTCTACCTCTTTTCCTCTCCTTATCACTGATGAAGATGATTTTTTTATAATGTACATAACCATGGAAAAACAAAATAGCAGACTAAGAGAAAGAAAAAAACTGAATTGTGTTTCTGCTGTACACTGACAATGCAGCACAAGAGAATTTACTTCCTTTATACCTTAAAATTGCATTATGGAGCACTTAAGTAATGAACAGTTGTATTATCGGAACAGATAATAAGATGCTATACCTTATAATTTTAATTGAACAGTTTTAGAATTAGGGTTGAGTCATGTCTTTTGGTTAGGACTGAAATAATTCAGTACTCAGTTGTACTTTTCTGCATAGTTCCTGTGCTCAACTCAAAGGGAAGCAATGGCTTACTCTTCTTTCGCTAATGTCTGAAAGTATTTAGTAGACTTTTAAAATTTCTGGGAAACATTACATTTAATTTTTACCCCCAAACATGAAACTGACGATCACCACATTTCTGCTCAGCCCTACTTCCAACCCCAACTTTTAACATTTGAGAACTACGGCCATCAACCAGTAACCTGGCATCCAAATGTATACCATTTTGCTATCTTTGATATTTTCTTCTAGACGCCTTGTGGACACAGAAGATGAGCTCAGCGACATCCAGTCAGACTCGGTGCCCTCAGAGGTGCGGGACTGGCTGGCCTCCACCTTCACGAGACAGATGGGGATGATGCTCAAAAGAACAGAGGAAAAGCCCAGATTCCGGAGCATTGTTCATGCAGTGCAGGCTGGGATTTTCGTAGAAAGGTAAAAGTATAGGATGCTGGATCTGCAAGAATGCATGTGAAAAACAATATAGTAACACATGAAGAGTTCTGGAAAGTACTGTACATGGACAATGTACTTAACATCTAGCCATGTTCAATCCCTGCCCAACACACTGATCGGTTTTAAAACATACTTTAGTTCAGTAATATGCGTAAATATAACCCTCTTGGAATAAATATTCCAAGAATGAGCCAGGAATTTGAAGAAAATGGCATGTTATTCTCTTGAAAGCCACAATTACATTACGTTATACACATTAGGTGATTACAAGAGAAAATTCACAAGTGGCACATGCTATTTTGATACACCATCAGTTTATCCAGAAATCTTTATTCCAATAAAACAAAATAAATTTAAGTTTCTCCAGAAAAGGCTGTAGAGCAATATACCATTTTGGAATGACATCGTGACTAAGAACAATACCTTTTCTTTGGTTTTCTTTTGATATTGTGCCATGATACTGTGCGTTTGATTCATGTTTCTCTCTGTAATCAAACAGACCTGCAAACCTTATGGAAGTAGATATATTTGCTGCTCTTACAGTATGTGCCACATGGTAACTCCATGACACACACAAACTCAGAGGACTCAGAAGACCAAAAACTATGTTTATTTTGTACAACGTGAGCAAAAAAACAGAGAAAATACAAGTCTAGATCATCCCCAATACATACTGAGAATACAAAATTACTTAAAGAGATCTTTTAAAAAGACATTGTAAGTGAAACATATGCTGAAATGTCCCCAGGTGTATAAAACTACATTCTTATGGGAATCCTGAGTATCTGAAAGAGTGCAGTTTTCTTTGAGCCTCAGTTATGTCTAGTTCAATTTGACCAAAATTCCCCTGAGCCGTGACACACAACTATGCTGCCGAGGCACAATTTGGATTCATCAGCTGGATGTCCCTTGGCAAAATGGATACCAGTGGACTTGCAAAGGTAAGGACAAGTTGCTCTTCCAGTCAGCTGTAGCTCTCTAAGACACAGTGGAGCAGGCAATGTCACAAAAAACAAACGTCTTGATGGAGGTGTGCATCACTGCTCGTCTCCATTCTCCCCATGCAGTGTGGGAACAGCTGCTGAGAACTGAGACTAAGAGAAAGCTGAATTCCAAGTGCTGTGGGAACAACATGGATGAAACTTAAGTTCCTTTGGTATCTCTGCTGAAATGATTTTGCTAGCCAAAAGAGTTTAAGTGCTTCCTAAAATGCAGTGCTTTTTTTTTCTCCTCAACAGAATGTATAGACGCACCTCAAACATGGTGGGGCTGAGCTATCCTCCATCAGTGATAGCTGTACTAAAGGTACTAACACAGTCATTTGTATCCTTTATTGACTAATTACAATGGGGTCAACAGAATCTGTTTTGCCAAGCGCTCTGTATCTTGGTCTCCTTATCAGCAGGTCCTTTGAGAAGAAACCCTTCGTTAATGAGAATTTGTCAACAATCAAGGGCTGCACTGAGGCTCTGTAGAGAAGTATTGTCCAGGGCAAAGCTAGTAATACTGCCCTTCTGAAGGGCAGGCATTTAACATTAAAAATGGACTTTATCTTGAAAATCATTCATTTAAGTTCAATATGTTTTAAATGTCAATACTTTGTGTGCGAGTTTTAATTTGTTAGATGGTCTGTAATTTAAAAATTGCATAAATTCACACACAAGCACATTTGTTTTCATAAAAAAGGGATTTATCTTGAAATAAACAGAGAATGCACATTTCTCTACACAGAGGAAAATCTTTAGCAAGTCTTTTTTAACATCACTATTACAATAAGGTATGAATATCCAAAGCTTTGATGAAATGGGCAGTATGAAAAGGAATCATTTATTTGTATTTAATTTCACAGATGTAAAATTTGCTTTGAAGGATAGCTGAAGAAGGTGTTGATAACTACACTGACTGTACTGGAAGCTGAAAATTAAGCCATTGGAAGTAAAAAAATTACCTTGATAGTTTTCTCAAAACTGTTGCCAGTTTTCATGTTTTGATTTTGAAATCCTTTGGTCAGGTCAAAACAGGGAGATGTGGTGTGGTAAGAGGCAGTCTGTGCTTCCAAAGTTTTCAACATACAGTACAACCTCAGATTCTTTTTGTTTCAGAACATACATTCTGTACTGTATATCTTAACCAGCAAATTCAATTTTTGGTAGCTAAAATGTTTAATATTCTGCACAGTGTTTTTTAAAGGTGTTAAGATTTATTCACCATTGTCTGCGATTCTCCTGTCTGTCTTGCAATTTATAACTGATTCACATATGCACAGCTTTTGCTTAAAAATTGACAGCATGGTGCTTTTCGAGCTCTGCCTTTAAAGTTTTACTCCGCCACCAACCTGCTTGTGATTCTAGCCACTGACACACATACAAGATCTATGCATCTTTATTGCTCACTGAAAATGCCTACAGGGAATTGGCAGTCAACTGTGACAGAGATTGAAGGCGCGAGCAAACTTCCAATTTAAAGATTTAAATCTTTAATGTGCAGTATTTCAAATGTGCATAGCAGTACGTGTTGGAAAAATAGAACTTAGTTTAAGGAAAAACATAATAAATTACAAATGGCTGAGGCCCTTCACCGTGACATTTTATTTCTCCGCATTATTACTGGAGTTTCTTTTTTTGCTTTTCCCAGGCAAATTTTTTTCCATAAAAGACATTCCACTACAACAAGGTTTTGGCCTTTGGTTGATTTGGCAGAAATCATTTGAGCTAAGCATCTGTCCTCTTCTGGGACTGAGACTGTGGGGATCAGACATTTAATTTAGTTCCCATTATGTTTGTATGTAAACCTCTGAAATCCACAAAAGCTATAAAATAAAACCGAAGGGTAAAGAAAGTACAAGAATGAAGTGGCACATCAGACAAGGATGCATGGACACAGATACTCCCACATTCTTTTCCATTAAGAAGTGCCTCCTGCTCTCACTTATACAGTAAAAGCACTATCATTTCGTTTCCATTGTGTCAGCATGATGTTTCAATGTTTAATCTGAAGATGTCCATTGTTTTGGCTTCATAATTTTTATCATCAGCAACGTTCTAACAAGGGTCATGATATGACGTCGATCAGTTGGCAGCTTCCACAACACAAGTGACTCATAACCCATTTTGTTAACGGTGATTTGTCATGTGTGTGTTTCACCTTATTATTATAAACCTCACTCTTTCATTCATTCATCTTTCTTCTTCAGATTTCTAATCTTCCCAACTCCACATTTCTTCCCAGGATAATGGTTCTGAATCATGTTTTGTCCCACTTTTTGCACTTTGTTTTCGGATTTTCTCTCAGTTTCCTTAATCTTCTGGTGCAAGGTGCAGCCCTCATTCACCACCAACTCTCATGTTAACTGAAGGTACCAACAGCCCCCCTTGCTCTGCCCAGGACCTCCAAAGTTTTGCGTGAGCCCCTTCTGGGCTTGCAGACCTGAATGCAAGAGGAGCTCACATATGTGGCAGATTTAGATATAGACAAGAAGCAAAAACAGACTTTTCCAACAGACTATGACTACACAGCAAATGTAATATGTAGCGCATCCATCTTTATTTCATTCACAAACAAAATGTGTTTAATTTAGTAGTTGTATAGTTTTAGTGTACTGAATACTGTAGGTAGCAACAAAACATGTCCAGATGCAAAGTAATGATCCAGGCTCCCTTATTGTTTTTCTGACATCAAAACATATTTAAGAAAAAACAAATGAAAAGATTGTCCTGACAGTTTTTTTTCACACACACTTTGATTTATTTTCTTCTTCTTTTTGACATGACACCTGTGGAAACATGTGGTTTTATTCATGAAAAAAAAGTTAGCCCTATTGAAATGAAGGAAACTGTTCTCTTATTTGAGTTATTTTGATAGAATTCCTGTTACCCACATTTCAAAGACTTCTAATGAATGTGAATGTGTTGTCATATGGATTGCACTCAAACCAAACAATAAAATAACCTTTCTTCTCCCCACAGAATGTAGACAAGTGGTCTTTTGACGTTTTTGCACTCAATGATGCAAGTGGAGACCACGGACTGAAATTCATATTTTATGAACTCCTCACAAGATATGATTTAATTAACCGGTTCAAGGTGAGTAGCAGTTCAAATGATCAGTGTGTACACAATGCTGTATGTGCTTACCATTTACTTGAAAATGTACTTAAGGAAGTTCAATTCTGATGTGAAACACTCTCAAATACAGGGTTAACAAGTTTGGCTAATGCAGTTTTCAATTTTTTATGATAAAAAATATTTTATACAAAATTCCAAAGCTTTAATTCACACAGTGAATATACAGTAAGTACATGCACTGTATGTTTCTTCTTAATTAAGTTCTTAAGAGCGCAGCAAAAATATACTGAGAAGCATTAGAAATACAGCAAATGTTATCGGTTCCTGCATTTATTTGATGGGTTTTGATGCCTCGTGGTAGATATATATTTTTGGATTTCTATTGGTGGACTATTAATTCTAGTCTTTTTCTGTGGTTGCAGATTCCCATTTCTGCTCTGGTGTCCTTTGTTGAAGCCCTGGAAGTTGGATACAGTAAACATAAAAACCCATATCACAATCTCATGCATGCAGCAGATGTTACACAAACTGTCCATTACCTCTTGTTAAAGACTGGGATGGTGGTAGGTATTACAGTATGATGATGAACACATGTTGTTTGTGTTCTGCAGTTTTTAAAAGCATTTACAAGATGACTAGGGTCACACACAAAATAATTTGCATGCTATGATAATGTAATCAAATGCGGCAGAATAAGGATATCCTTTATAACATTTTAACAGAGCATTAATAAATTAATAAAGTAGGAACTGACCTCTTTTCACAATTACTGTCCCATTGCTTTCATGTTTCAACATTTTGCTATTGGGCACTCATGTTTTAATATTTTGTAGCGTGTTATTTTCTTTTTAGTTATTTGTAGAATATGAAGATCAAGTGTTACTTAAACACTTCTTCAAGTTATAACATAATAATAACTTATTAATTTAGTTTTAGAAAAGCACAAAAACGTTCAGAGTGTTAACCAGAGTCTTACTTCTCTCCGAAGCAACTGGGTCTTCATGAGCTTGTGTATTTTCTTCCACTCAGACCGACTTTAAGCAAACAAAATGCCTTTTGTGTTATGAAAACAATCCAAAGTATTTTCTATTGGCTTGAAATTTGGCGATTACGAAGGACTTTTCCAGAGAACACTGCATTTGTGATTTCTGCAAGGATTCCCAAGAATTCTCAATATCATGTTGGAGGACATGCCTGCCACAGATCAGCCTGTCAGCGGATGGCATCGCTGATCTGTGCATCTTTGTTTTACTGTCAGTCACACAAATGCTTATAGCACTGCTCGAACAGCCCTATATTTCAATTGAAAAACCTCAATTACAGCTTTAACATTAAGTGTTCAAGCACAATGCATATGTTTTTATTCAATTTTGTAAGGCATAAACTAACATTTTAGCAGAAAGGAAAAGGTTTCTTAAGAGAAACTTTACTGAACAAAACTATTCTGTTCAGTTATTCCAAGGGGAAAAACAGCTATGGATGACAGGAGAAAAACAAATAACACAATTTTTGTTTTCCAATTGAAGAGAACTGGGTCAAGAAGCATTACCTTATGAATTTAAAGTTGGGTTTTGAACCTACTATCCGTTTCAACCAATTTCCAGAGGGTAACGGTCCAATGAAATGAGCACTGTGGAGCCGCGAGCTCAAAGCAATCAGTCAGATGGGGTACAGATTGAAGTGTGATGCTCTTCACAGGACCTATCTCTTTTTTTATCATTCATCGGTACTTCTTTTCTATCACCAGTGTTGATAGATTCTGATGGCAGATGGCTTTGAACAGGCAGCCTTTGATAACAGTGGTCAGTTTAATGTGGGAATGTACTATCCCAGTGTTTTGACACTCGTACCTTTTCTGGACTTATTTATTTCCTCATAGACCGATGCTAATACCACATTTCTGTGGTTGCAGGGACCATATCAGACTGTGTGATACATACTGTATCTGCTCTTTATATTCAAATAAGTGCCAAGCAGACCAAGTACGAAAGGCCACTGAAAAAAAATATCCCATTCTATTTATTTTCCTTTTGTCCTACTGAATCAAATACATTATAACCATTCCAGTTAATATTCCAATTAGCTTTCCTCTTTATGTACAGTAGATCCTGTTTTGGTTAAAACTGGCTTATTCTATTCCTTGTTCAATACTGTTCAATTGCTTTTTGTCTCAATGTTGAAAACGCACAATGAATTACCAGCTACCACTGAGCCTGATCTGAAAAGGTTCATTGATATTTTTACTGCATTTGACCTATTTCTGTTTGGATACACTGAAAAGGCTGTGTAATTCAGGTTTAATTTACGACTCAAACGATACGTATTGTAGTCCTTATAAATGTGAGAAGTGTGCCACAGTAGAGGAAAAATATCAGTCATAGAAGAAAAGGCATCCGGAATACTGAAAACCTCAGACACCAGACACACCAAGTGTCTTGTTACAGAATCCATTTGACAGCAAAAGGCATAATCTGTCAGAAAATTTACAAAATCTTTATGGACTTTGTTTTAGTATATACCAACAAATAGCAATCTAATAGCTAATAAAGTCAGCTGCTGCAGCAATATGGATATCTGTCACTATGAGGGGAAAAAATTATGGGACACTGCAAGAGATGCAAAGACTGGAAAACATTAAGGAAAAATAAATCCAAGTTGTTGTTTGAACAATATAAGCAAACACATGTGGCTGCTTACTTCTCTTCCACACAGCTGTCAAACTATTATTTGCTTGAGTGGAACACAAACAATTTACACTAAAGGTAAATAAAGAGTGCACTTATGATAATATGCTTCTATTGTTTGTATGTTCCTACTGTACATAATGCGTGGTTTATCACATAATGCAACTTTTTTTTTTATCACCCAGGGTATAATTGTAACTTCAAAAAGAGACATTTTACTCAAAGATGTGACCAAAGTATTTTTATTATTTTCAGTGTCTTACAGTGTTGATAACGGGATACTCAAGTTACAGTACATGCAGAATTTTAGGTCACAGCAAGCCAGCAATGTACAAACTGTATAACCGGTTATGTGCAATGACTTGTTTTTTTTCTTTTTGTTTGGTATTTCCCTATCTTTTTACATTAATGTCTGTGGAAAGGTTGCTTCTCCCTTCAAATCGCTCTTTTCCTCCATTCTGCTGTGTATTTCAAAAATCAATTGCATCTGATGTACAGTAAGCATACCGTAGCCTAAAAGCTTTTGAGGTTTTTGTGCCTCCACAGTGACAAACAATAACAGTAACAGTAATCCAACAGTAGGTACAAGTCTTATTCTCAAGTCATCGTAAATGTATTCCGTTCAATGTTTAAAGAGTCGGCAAAAGCTCTGTGCAGTACATTTTTCTGCAGTTTCACATTAAGAATAACATATGTTTGGAAAGTTGTGTCATTTCAACTTTTCACAGAAAGGGCGAAAATGATAGGCGTTTGATCCGGGAATCAAAGACACGGTGTTGTACTTCATGTATACAAAAGACTATACACGTGCTTCTTTAGATTAATATTTTTTTCCACAGAAAAGAGGAGTTTGGCAATATTCTCTGTTGTTAAAATCAATGCTATTGCATATGCAGTATAGTTATTGCATATCATTGCATATATAATGCAAGATATTAATATAGTAGGCAAAACTTTAGAAATCACTGCGTTTTTAATGCAATGTTATCTTATAAACACAAAAGTTTCTCGTTTAAACACAAATATATGTTTTTTTTTCTTCGTGGAGCTAATATACTTCTGTAGTATATCTGTATACATTAGGTGGGCTTTCACAGAAACAGTTTACAGGAAATATCTTGCTAGAAGCTACAACAGATCTCCTCTTGATTTGATCCCGTGGTCTTCCAATTACAAGACCTACTGTAAACTCAACTGCACAATGTTGCCAGGTCTTTCATATATCCATACTATAACAACTTCTAATCAAATGGATGCACTGTACTGACTGTTCTTTGTGTGTCACCTGCTGCTTTTCTTAAAAATCCTTAATCCTTTGTAATATTTTTTCTTCTGTCCTCTATCGATGGTTTAGATGTGACTTTGCAGACATTTTTTTCTTTTTGCGGTGTTACAGCTGTTATTATTATCCGCCCCCAGCTAGGCATATCCGCCTAAGCGTGTATATTTGCTTTCAACGCTGCATTTTTCGTTACAAAAATAAACTTTTTAATAGTTTCTCAAAATACTGCAAACACAATCGATCTCCAATATCCTCCAAACACGACCACTACGTTTATTTCACTGTAGGAAAATTATTTTGCAATAAACAAATTAATAGTGTAATGCTGACAACAGCACTTAAGACAGAAATTACACAACGGTTGAATTATATATTGTTATCAGCAAAAGCAAAACATAAACATAACATACTATACATAATAAAATACAGGACAGCATGAGGATCTCAGAACTGCATTTTGTACCGACATACAGTACATCACATAAAGCAAATTAACCTTTTTCAGTTATTTTTTCAGTTTAGAAAAGTGGGCAAATATATCATTAATTTATCTGTTCTCCAGCAAAATACAAATGCAAAAATTCTCTAAAATACACAGAATGCCTTACCTTGAGAAAGTGCGTTAATTTTACTATTTCAGCATGAAAACTCACGAGTTTATAAATACAAACAATTCTTCAACAAAGATGGCTGCTGGAGCCCTATACTTTTAAATCGTCCGGCTCTAGAAAAAAACCTCATCTGAAAGGTTAAAATAGAGTTCTGACCATTCAGAGACAGCATGTTTGCATAGTTTTTTTTTAGTTTTTTTTTTTACTAAACCTGTTTTTACGAGTGCTGTTTAATCCAATAAATACCAGAAAAGTGCAAAAAAGTTTTTTAAAATATTAAAAACGCTTTTTCTAAACCTATAAACATTATAAGAAGCCCCTCTAGAGCTGGCAGTATTGAAATACTACAGTAAAATGTCTTTTTCGTTATTTTTTATTATTTATTTGACATTGTTTGGAAGGCTGGGAAAACCGATCCATGTCCTGTCCCTCAAAAAACCATGCAGATTTTATGTACTTGTTCAATCACTTTCAAACTTTTTTCCATAGTTTCAAAACCCCAACCAGGTCTGTAGTGTGAGTAGTTGCCAAGATAATTTGAGATATTAAAAGGTACACCCATTCCAAGAGTGCATTGACTTTGACTTCCATTTTGGGGGATTAATTTGGGGGATAAGATTAATTAAACTCTAAAATATTTTATAAATGTTACAGATTTATCTGTTTTATTTATTATGGCTCATTATTTCTTTGTTTCTTAAATATGACATATAATGTGTGGTAAAGAAATATATACAGTAATTGTGAGTTCTTGTGTGCAAAGTTAGTGTGCACAAGCATTATACTGTAAACATGCATATTTTTGCTAGTTGTAATTACACAATGTCATGACTTAGAGGAAGAGAAAGGCAACTCTCCTCAGGTATGGATCTGGCAGGTACTGTATATCACAGTGGGAGAACACCAGCGCATTCAGCCATGGTAGATGGTAGGGTCCATGTACTGTATACAATAGTGTCACAGACACAAGAAGAAGTGCCTGATCT